TAGCCGCCTGTTGTCCATGTCTTGATAACCGAACGGCGAGTGTTTGTTGAGCGTTGAAATAATGCCGTAATTTAAAAAATACGAACATACAGCATCGAAGAAAAAATTTTTACCGGCATTTGGGGGCGATAGTACAGAAAGCGTATTACGTTTTGGAACGTTCTTTTCCACCACATCGAATAAATCGTACATAAATTTATGTATTCGTTCGAGATCGCCGTCGAACTGAAAGTGTAGTAGTTCGACGGCGATTTCCAACGACTCGGCCGGTGTATAATAAAATGACGACTTACAGTTTGTAAATGCGTACAAATTAAAATACGGCCGAACACCCGGTGAAGAATAATAATCCCAAAACTGTTGTACGCTCCATTGATTTAATATGACGGACCAATTTTTAATAATAACAGCGAGATCTCTATCGGACCCGGGAATATATTTTGTATGGATATTGTTAATAAATTCTAATGTTTTGTTAACGGCATTAATGGGACATGTAGGGTACATTCTAATTAAAATCTCTATTTCCCTCTGTTTTCGTTTACGACCTTTAAGAATAATACCGTCAGTAGAACCGCCGGTCTTGAGGAGCAGGTCGACTATCTCTTGTCGTACTTGACGAGCTTCTTGCGGCGCGTTGCCGGGTTGTCGGACAATTGCCGCGTCACTGAGGCAACCAACCGGTCTATCAGCCGACCCTGCTCCGAAAGGCTCTCCGCACACGTTCCTGTCATTTTCAGATGTGCCCTCTTCCACCATTCCGATTTGTCGAGGCCGCGGACGTCCCGTCTCCTGTAGCATTTCAGCTCCCACAGGAGATCGTCGGGTTCGACCTAAAATAAAAAATAATTGTTTCGTCAGAATAAAATACATATGAAAATAGTGTAAAAAATAAAAACATACTTCCAACGATAAGGCGCTCGACACGTCGGCCACCGCTAGTGAAATATCGTAGGACATTCGTCCATCCCGCGGTGTCGATGTCAGCCGCTCGAACATTTCGCGCCAATTGTGGTTTTCGGAACGTCCTGTAGGACTCACTTCCACGCAGCCATGAACATCTGCAGCTGGAGTTGGAGCTGGTGCACACATGGTTAACGTGGATGTGGTCGTCATGCCTCGCAATGATGACAATGTCGATGTTCGAGCCCCGCGTGATGCAGTAACGCAATCCTCTCTCCAGGTCCTCCACGATAGAATCAAGTCCACCAACTGAATGGGGGACAAAAATCCACGAATAGTATCTTTTCGTACGAGGACCTGCCACGCATCTATTGTACAACTCACGGGCTTGTTCTGCCAGCCAGTGGTCAATGTCCTCGAGAATTGCGCCGCCGCGCCACGCAGGGCCTCCAGGAGCGAGATAGTGCCGGTTGAGGTGGAGAGAGCCGTCTGTACTTGTGTGTCTTTCCATAGCTGAGGGGGTGGAAACTTCTGAAATAATTTGGTCAATCCCATTGGAGTTATTGTGCCATAGTGATAGTTGTTGGCCAGATACAGGNGTGCCATAGTGATAGTTGTTGGCCAGATACAGGAGAAGGATATGGACTGGCAACAACTCGGCGTCGCCGGAGACGTGCAAGCACGCCGACAAAGCCATTATCTATAAAGCAAAAATATTAATAGAAGCGTTCTACAAAAGTTTTACTAATATTTTTGCCTTACCAAGTCTGTTATATCCATCGCTTCTTGTTTCGTCACCAACTCCTTCACGTTCTTCCATGCTGAATGCAAGAATAGATTTTTGTAGGTGCGAACCTCTTCGGACCAACACGGATCGACAAAAAGTTCGCGTTTCGCCGATTGTACTTCTGAACTGGGATTTTCTTGCGTAAAAATGTCCAGTACTTCGTCGTTGGACGAATCAAAAATCTCTTGCGATTCCGGAGCTGCGGCTGCTGAACTGCTGTCTTCGATAGAAGTATTCATTATTAGTTATACTTTGTAAAAAAATACAAGTAAAATTATAAATTAAATAAAAGTGTTAACGTACTACAAAACACAATAGTAGTAGCAATAGCACAAGTGTGTGAATACACTGATTTACTAACGAGTCGTTATCGTATTTATATACGCGGTATTGGCACCAGGAACTCTTCTATTAATATTTTTGCTTTATAGATAATGGCTTTGTCGGCGTGCTTGCACGTCTCCGGCGACGCCGAGTTGTTGCCAGTCCATATTCTTCTACTGTATCTGGCCAACAACTATCACTATGGCACAATAACTCCAATGGGATTGACCAAATTATTTCAGAAGTTCCCACCCCCTCAGATATGGAAAGACACACAAGTACAGACGGCTCTCTCCACCTCAACCGGCACTATCTCGCTCCTGGAGGCCCTGCGTGGCGCGG